TAGTGGTAAAAACAAGTCAGACTTATCTTTCTTTTTCTTCCTCTTCTTTTTTCTCACACAACTCTTCCCATGATTCTGGACAGTATCTGTGTTATGGTTTTCACAGGTAAAAGCTACTTCTTGTGAGATGTATTTGTGGGGGTTTTTACATCTTTTTTCAGACTCTTTCTGTTCACTGCCCTGGATGTCCTCTAATGAAAAACTGCCTTTCTTCTTCTTTTTCTTTGTCACCTCACCATCCAGTCCCAAACTCAAAGCAGAATTCTTTCTGTATTTTTTAATAGAGAATGTATTTTTTTCAGTACCATCTGCATGATGATTTGAAAGCTCCACATGACTACTCTTGTTGTCCTTCTCTAAGGAGGAATGACATTGGAATTTTTTTTTCTTCTTTTTGAGAGTTTTGATTTGGTCCTCTGATTCTTCTTTAATTTCTGAACACAGATGACCTTTTACATTCACAAAGATTTTTGAATGAGCTTCTTTGAGTAATTCGGAGTCAACTTTCTTTTTCTTGTTTTTCTTCTTCTTTTTCTTTGGTTGTAATTGTTCTGAATATTCATCTTTTAAATTTTCCTTTTTTATCTTTGTTTTTGTGTCACCCTGGTCATGGTTCTCTGTTTTAATGACAGTTTGAACATCTTCCTCAATTTTAATCACATTCTTCACCTTTTTATTTTTCTGTACAGGTTCTTCATGAAATTCTTTTCTCTTTTTCTTTATTATCATTCTAAAAAAAACCAAAATGAAGATGTTAGTGAACTGCTTCAAGGAGATAATGCAAGTCCTAGTCTATTTGGTCTTCCTTTATTCTAGAACCATTCCGTATCTCCCATTGTCCCTGCCACTCTTTTTCTAATTTCATATTCTGCTGTGATGGAGGAACCAGAACTGCATTCAGACCAGAAAATATTGTCTATTGGGGAGCTCAAGGGTGATTTTTTGTCTTGTCCTTTAGTGTAACTTCTCCTGGTTAATTTGTGATTTTCTATTTGTCTCCTTGACAGCTACAGAGCATGACATTTTCATACAAACATCCACCTTCTAAAAGCCTTTCCTAAATGCCAAAACACACAGAGATTTACACAGAGGTACAGTTAAGATGGTTTTCCAGATACCTGTGACTTTGCACTTATTTAACACGGACTTTCACATCACTGCCCATTCAGCACTACAAGAACATTACAAGACACCTAAGTTACTACCTTAAATTTGCTTCTGCCTCTAATTTCTCATCCTTTCCATCTGCTTCCTTTTCAGGACACTTATGCCCACGAACAGCTTACAGCAGAGAAGCCTTTGGCACACACCTGGTGACACTTCCCACCACTTCTGAGAAACCTCTAAGAAGGTTTTGAACATAAGGACATGGAACTGTTGGGGCAAGTCCAGAGGAGGCCACGAAGTAGGTAAGAGGACTGAAGCATCTCCCTAATGAGGACAGGCTGAGGGAGTTGGGGCTGTTCACCCTGGAGAAGGTTGTGTGGAGACCTCATAGCAACTTTTCTATATCTGAAGGGGCTACAAGGGAGCTGGAGAGGGACTCTGTTAGGAACTGCAATGATAGGACAAGGGGTAATGGGTTCAAACTGAAGGAGCGGAAGTTTAGGTTAGATGCTAGAAAAAAATATTTTATTCTAAGGGTGGTGAGACTGGCACAGGTTGCCCAGGAAGGCTGTGGCTTCCCCAACCCTGGCAGTGTTCAAAGTCAGGTTGGATGAAGCCTTGAGCAACCTGCTCTGGTGGGAGGTGTCCCTGCCCATGGCAAGGAAGGCTGGGACTAGAAGATATGCAAGATCCATTCCAACCCCTAAAATTCTATGATTCTATCTATCCCTACTTAATTTCCCACCCTTTAATCACTAACCAATACACAGGATTTATTTACATGTCTCTGGCAAGCCACACTGCCACAATCCTTTAAGGAAAACGTAAGTCTAACACAGCCAGTTCTCTATGTGTCCCTGTGTGCTCTCAGGGCCAAAACCGCAGCCACGGTGCCACCCCCAACCCATACCCCTACCCCTATCCCAGGGGGCGGTGGGTGCTCCCGGGATGGTGTTCCCAGGGAGCCCCCGGGCCTGATCTCAGAGCACACACACACAGACACACACAGACAAACTCACAGACACACTCACTCTCACACACAGCCTCAGACACACACAGCCACATTGATACAGAGACAGACATACACACACATTCACACACACACTCAGACTCTCACACACACTCACACAGTCACACACATACACTCTCACACACTCACTCACAGACACACACACTCACAGCCAGACACAGACTCACAGACACACAGACTCACAGCCAGACACACAGACACACTCTCACTCACATACACAGACACACACACGCTCAGACACACACACAAACAGACACACACACTCACATACACAGACACACACACACACTCACACACACAGACGCTCACACACACACTCAGACACACACACAGACCAACACACACAGACACACACACTCACATACACACTCAGGCACACACACGCTCACACACACACACTCACACACACAC